ATACGCTTGTTATAAGACTGTTCCATCTACTGCCCTTTACAATGTACTTATATATCCGAATTCATATAATAATTAAACAGTTTATATTCGCATTACATACTTGTGTTACTTTCCTTATGACTACAATGTTTTGTACAATTTCACAATCATTCGTATAACCCTGATATCCGTTCATTGAATATAAAGTATTGATTAGTACTACGTGTTAATAATAATACAACTACGTAGGTGGTCTTCTACACCTATGTGATTTGATGACTGATAGCTAGACAATCAAATACACATATCGACTCTACACTTTTTAACAATTTCAACAACCAAAAGTAGATAACAAGCGCCTAGAGATCCTAGAGATCGTATCCATTTACAACGTTCGTGACGGATTGCTAGACGCTTAAACTTTTAAACATTTACGCCAAAACGCCAAGCTTTATCTCCAATCCATATCACTAATTCTTATCACAAATCCTAAACTTTCATCTTACAATTGTCGCTCCTTTAATAATTGAAACGACTCTTACTCCAAAATCAGTAGGTACCCCCAAATTCAGCGAGTCTCATAGGCCAACTAGAATCTATATTTTTCATTATTCACTTATCTGCGCAACTAACGGGATCCGCAATCCACCGCAGGTGGAGTTCATACCTGATAATATACTCTTCGCATATTGCTTACCGATGTGATTTTATGACTGATAGCTAGACAATCAAATGCACATATCGACACTACACTTTTTAACAATTTCAACAACCAAAAGCAGCTGACAAACGCCTTGAGATCCTGTAGATCGTATCCATTTACAATGTTCGTGACGGATTGCTAGACGTTCAAACTTTTAAACATTCCCGCCAAAGCACCAAGCCTTATCTCCAATCCATATCACTAATTATTATCACAAATCCTAAACTTTCATCTTACGACTGTCGCTACTTTTATAATTCCAACGACGTTGTCTCCAAAATCGGTACCCACTCTCAGCGAGTTCCACGGGCCCCGAGTTTCACTTAGAGCTAGTCCTAATATATAAAATGACAAGGAAATCAGCTGTCTACAAGCAACCCGTGGAACGGAAAACGCAGGCTATAGTGAAACCGTGGAGTAAAAAATAAGCACCGCTCCGTTTCCCCAGTCCGCCGGCCATGTCCCGTCGATTCCTCACAGCGCGACCAATCGCGTACCTTCGCAGTGGCGGCGGTCGGTTTTAAAACGTTTTTCGTTATCACCTCTTTTCCTATCATTTCGCCGATTTTTGAAATTTTCAGAAAATTAGCTGTTTTTACACGATTTCGACAATTTTGGTCCTTTTTTATACTTAATTCGAAGCCGCCCGTGTGCGGTTTATATTCGTGCGCCGATTAGTTAGTCGATCGAAAAATACACTCCCGACCGGACTTTTTTGCCGATTTTTTCATTTTCTCCCACCGTTTCGTCTATTCGCACGCCGTTTGTGCCCGAATCGTGTAGTCGACGTCTTTTTAAAGCCGTTTATATGGGCTATTCCCCCGAAATCGGTTCGTTCGCCTCGCAATCACGTTTAGAAATTACACCGGTGACCGACCGACCGTACGCGTGTATATACGTGTATAATTTAATTTTTCCCTATGATTTAATAATTATTAACGGAAAACGCTTTTCACACGCCCCGTTAAATATATATATGGGAGATGCGCGTATTACAAGCGAATTATATGCGATTACATCGATGTACATCGAATATATCGGTTTACGTCGCTCCGTAGACGCACGGCTTAAGTTTTGATGTTTTGACCATATTTCACATCTCAAACTGTCTCCAAGTAGGTTAGGCGTTAGGTAGCAAACACGTAGGTCCCTGGTTCGAATCCGTCGTACGCTCGCCGGGCGTCGAAACCGTTATTGCCATATGGTTTACACGGCCGCCCGAAACCCGACTGTTTTTGCATTTTTTTTTTCACAATATTTTTTATATAAATTAAATAATAATATTATAATAATACAGGAACATATTATCGTACATTATTATTATTTAAAGTCATTGTCATATTATATCACACAATTAATAGGTACATGTTATATTTGTTTTATTAGGAATTATTATAATTGCATATTTTTTAAAATTTCCATGATTGTTATATAAATATAGTTTGTATTTTATTTCGGATTGCCTACCTAGGTAGCTAACTTGAAAGTTAATCTTGATTTTGACTTGAGATGACTGACTTACTAGACACTCCAACACGGTTTTCGACTTTCCACTTTTTACATAAGAAAAGTCACCGGACATGCGAAGGCACATACCACTCTATGTGATATACCTAGTACATGTAGGTGATAGTTGGTAGTGTTGCTCATTTTAGTTTCGTCTTAAACGGTGATGATTGACTTGATAGACACTTTAACATGCAGATTTTTGCATATTTTTTTTTAAATTAATATATATACACTATAGGTACATGTTTATATGTATTGTATTGGTTAATATAATAGTGTGTATCTAACTATCTACCTATATGTTAATTTTTTTTAGGAATTATAATAGCACATTTCTCAGAATGTCCATTGTTATATTATATCACACAATAAATACATATCATATTTGTTTGTATGTATATTGTATATAGTTTGAATTTTTCGTAAATTATTTCGTAAGTTGTGTGATAGGGTTTTCACTTATAGCCGCTTGACGTCGGGTCTGCAATCCACCGCAGGTGGATTGCCTACCTGATTTGCTGTAGCACATTGTCCGTGATCCGACGAAGTCGGATTGCCTACCTAAGTGGCTAACTTGAAAGTTAATAGATTTTAACTTGAGATGACTGACTTGCTAGAAACTCCAACACGGTTTTCGACTTTCCACTTTTTACATAAGATAAGGCACCGGTCATGTTACGGCACATACCACTCTATGTGCAGGTATACTCTATATCGGTGATCTTGGGGATCGTATCCAGCCTATCCATTTACAACGTTTGTGACGGATTGCTAGACGCTCAAACTTTTAACATTCCCTCCAAAGCGTCTAGCCTTATCTCCAATCCATATCACTAATCCTTATCACAAATCCTAAACTTTCGTCTTACAACCTTTGCGACTTTTATAATTCATTGTCTCCAAAATCGGTACCTACTCCCCGCGAGTCCGACGGGCCCCGAGTTACACTTAGAGCTAGTTTACAAATAAAATTATAAGTGAGATTAACACTTGGAGCACTGGGAGCAGACTATTTCACGTCACGTGAGCTCACGTGCTGTCACGTTGGCACATTTAATCCGTGATATCACGCTTAGAAATAAACTATCTTCACATTATCATGTCACAATTTAGTACCAAGTAGTCACTGTGTTGTGTTGGTTGGTGTGAACTTACACAAGTTTTTTTTCCTTAAGAAAAATTATAATGGAAATAAATTAACTTCAAGTAGTTCAGAGTGGGAAGAGGAATTAGAAACTGCAGCTGTTTTTGCAGTTTTGGACGAAGAAAATAAAAAATCCACCTGATCGTGCTGGGTACACGATATTAATAAAAAAAAGGTTAAAATTGGGAGAATTCCATCGTCTAGTTCAAGAACTACGAAACGATCCAAGACGATTTCATATGTATTTCCGAATGACGAAAGAAGAATTTGATTATGTACACGACCTTATTAAAAAAGACATACAAAAACAAAGCACACAATTTCGAAAACCTATTAGTATCGAAGAAAGGTTAGCTGTTTGTTTGAGGTAAGTAATAAAAACAAAATATTTCTCGACATATAAATTATTTTATTATTTTTAAATTAATTATAAATTATTGCAAATAAAGAATATTAACATATTAATTACCACCAAGTATTAAGATTATGAATTATTAGTATACAATTTTAGATTATTAATTAAGCTAATATTAAATTACTCGTATTGAGAATGAGTAATGGACATCATTTGAAGTAATGTTGGTCTGGTAGGAGTCTGGTCTTATGCTGGAAAATGTTGCTCCACTGATCTTTCATAATTTTGTTCAGTAGTTAAAGAATAATTGTTGGGCGAGTCTATAGGCGATGGCATTGCATGTAAACTACTCTTACTAAGTGCTGAAGATTGATTTGAAACTGATTGCATTGTCTGCAAGCTACTCATACTAGGTGCCGGAGAATGAGTTGAAACATATAGTTGTTGTGTAGGATAACTGGTATAAATAACTGAAGAACTTGGTTCTCGATTACACTTTATATCAGCAGATAATACTGAGTTACTTAATGCAATTTTAATTTGAGCCTGTTCAAATTTTGGTAATTGTTTTGTCATTCTTGACATACTCAGGAAAAACATGTCCATATCATCCAGATTTTCAAATGGGTTAGTTATTTTATGTCCTTGTCTGATACACTTTTCTTCATACTGACGTTTTCTACGAATAGAATTTTCTTTTAGAATTTCAACCAGCTGTTGTGCTGGATTGTTAGTTTTTTTTTTTTTTTTGTTACGTTTTATGTCTTCGTCATATGTTTCATCTGCAGCAGTATTGCTGAATGTTGCCTCATCTTGATTATCTTCAATATTTTGTTCATTTTGCGTTTCTCTGTGTTTCTGTGCTTGTTCGGACTGTATATTTTCTTCTTCAGACCTCTCTGACAAATCATCTGGCTCACTGATCAAATTTGCAGATGTCTGAGATTCGTTTAAGTTACTATGCGTCCTTTATCAAATAAAAAAACATTAGGAATAAAATAAGATATAAAATAATAATTTAATAATTTAATTTTTACTTTCTGCTTTCTAAATATGGTATAATAAATGACATTTGTGGTTCGTATTTCCACACAGACTTCTTTTTGGAAGCCATGCCACTTTTTGTTTCTTCTCTACGTCTGTTCCGAGCATTGCAGAAACATCTCCTTAAATTTTCCCATTTTTGTTTAGCAATATTCCCTATAAAAAGGAAATTAACATTAAAATTTTTTTTTATTTTAGATTTTTAGCGTCAGGAAACTCCTTTAGAAGTTTGTGAGGCAATATGGGACAATTTAGCGCCACTTGTTATGCCAGAACCCACAGAGGAAATATGGAAAAAAGTTGCAGAAAGATATAAAACCATGTGGCATTTTCCAAACTGTATAGGGGCTATAGACGGTAAGCACATCAATATACAGTGCCCTATTAATGCCGGATCCACGTATTACAATTTCAAGGGAAGCCACTCGATTGTACTTTTAGCATTTGTTGATGCGGATTATAAGTTTATTGCAATCGACGTTGGCGCATATGGCAGAAACAGCGATGGTGGAATTTTTTCTCAATCGGTAATTGGAAAAAAGTTAAATAACAAAACACTCAATGTTCCAGAGCCAACCCCTTTAACAGAAAACGGAGAACCTCTGCCTTATGTGATTTTTGGAGACGAAGCATTCCCGCTAAAAAATTATTTGCTTCGACCATTTAGCAGACGCTATTTAGGGGATAATGAGCCCAATAAAATTTTTAATTATAGGTTGTCACGAGCTAGGCGTGTTGTTCTAACCTTTGGAATTTTAGCTGCTCGTTGGAGGTGTTTCCAGGGGCACTTAGAAGTACAACCAGAGTTTGTAGACAAAATTGTGTTTGCTTCGTGCTGTCTGCATAACATGTTATGTACAGACAATGCATTTGAACCCGATATAGAATCACTTCAACTGCCAGAAGCTGTTTTACAGCATTTAGATCCACTGAGAAGAAATAGCACTCGTGACGCATTTCAAGTTAGAGAAAAATTTAGAGATTACTTTAATTCTGATTCAGGTAGTGTAATTTGGCAAGTTGAAAGAGTTCGAAAAGGAAAAATAAATTCTTAATTAATAAAAAAAATTTTTTTTTTACATGCATAATTTACTAAGTTTGTAGTAGTTGATTTTAATATTAATTAATATCAAGTAATCAATAATCAGTAAAACTAAAAATCCTATGTTTTTGCTTTCTGTACTATACAATTTTGTTGAGTTATATTAATAAAGAATATGTTAAATGTTCAATGTAATATTTAATTATTTTGTACATGACATTGTAATTTCAGTTTATAAGATAATATCATAATATGGTTGTATAAACTAATTTTACAGTGTAGTAACAGTGAATAATATTGACAATTGTACTATTTTTAAACGCTGGATTTTAGTCAGATAAAGTAGTATTTATAGATTTCACTACCAATATGCCTACATAACATACGTAGCAACCGTAGTCTACAAATTTGAATTATACAAATTTATTTTCGAGTTTTCTATCATAATATTATTATAATTTTTAACAACGATTTGAAAAAATGACAATAAACATAATATATAATAAAAAAAATATAATATATAAAATATATTAATATATAATAAACATATTTATATTTACCTGATATTATGTTTAGCTCTTTCCCAATTTCTTCCCAAGCACTTTGGCGTATATGCTGATCCCGATATTCATGTGAACTATGATTATATAGGACTTCATGCTCTCTTACCTTTTCAATTAATTGTTCGTCCATTTCGAAACTGAAATATTTAACTAGACAGAACTCCGAAAAATTTGATGACGTGACGTTACATGAGTCGAAAATGTGTGAACTTTTATAGTATCAATTATTATTTTTTTTACAATCAGATTTTTGGACTTTCCTTTTACATAACCCATTTTTTATTAAATTGTTAACGATAAAGTTATTTTAAAAAGTAATAATTAATTCTTCTAGTTGGTTAAATAAGTGTTGGGTAGATAATACTTTACAATATTACTCAAATAAACAGTGTACCTTCCTATAATTAAGATATAGTATTTAGTACCAATAGTTAAAAGGGTATTGTACATTTTAATTTTTACCTGAAAATCGCTATTTTTTGATTTTACTTTATTATTTTTATTAATTTATTCCATATTTCAGCTCTATTTTTTCATAACAATAACAGTTCTATACTTAGAATTAATATGTGCATTTGCAAGTTCAGTTTAATTTATTCTATGTTCACTTATGCTTAATAAGAATGTAAACTAACTAAAGCTATTATTTTTAATAGGTAGAATCCTAAAGTAAATATGAGTTACACATATGAAATACAATTCTAAGATGGTATTAATATAATAATTTATATAATCATCAATTTTAAATTTAAATAATTATTAGGTATCTATTTTACAATATTACCTACCTACTTGAATAAATAGAATACCTAAATAATATATTATTACTTGTAAGCTATATCAATTTCATCCAAATAATTGGCACAAAATAAATAATTGATTTCATATATTTTATTTATTTAAACCCTATATTTTCATCAAGTGTTTATAGATTCACTGGTTTCTAATAAATTTTAATTTTGTTTATGAATTTCTCCCATAAGTATACCCAAATATTTAATAAAGATTTCAATTTGTACTTGTAAATTGTAATTATATGTTAAGTATATCTATTACTAATATATTATAATTTTTTAAAGGTGCAAATAAATACATTGCAAAACCTATCAAGATTAAAGTATGTAGCCATGTAGGTATTAAAAAATGTACAACAAACATAAAAAATGGTAAAGTCTAACTTGATACCTACCTACCTATGTTAAAGTGTGATTATGGACATTTGTAAATAATACTATTGGTGGTAAAAGGTAAGCTATCCTAAATAATAAGCAGTTGAATAATACCTATGTACCTATAATCTATTTAATATGCAATTTTTAAAGTGAATTTGTAATTAGTAATGAAAATAATATATTAACTATTTAAATGATACTTTTACATATTATTTATATTTATTTTTTATATTTTAACTATATTGAGTAGGTACCTACACAATAATAGTTTTATTCTTTATTCAAATAATTGGCACGAATTAAATAACTAATATAATTCTATGATAACAGGGTATAGACACTCTGTGTATTGGCAAAATCGGGTGACTGTGGCCTTGAGCACGGTCTCTAAGGGGGCGTGGCATATGTTATCATTTAAATAAATCATATCAATATTATCAGTCCACAGAATAATAATACAATATATTATTTCATTAACAATAAACCAATGTAAAATTACATTATAGTTTTTACTTTTTAATTTATATTAAATCAAAGTCCTTATTCATTTTACCAAAATTTAATATTGATATACTTAAAATATGAAAAATAAATAATTTATCGTTATTAATCGTTTATAAAAATTCCGTAACAAAGAGGGATACACGTTGCTAACGTTCTATCAGATTACGGATACGGTACAACTTTTATAGTCCAATACATCATACCGTAGGCGAAATTTTAAATCATGCCATCGCGGCTCCTAATATACCTCCCACCACTCCTCCAATTTAACATGTAATCTTTATCATAGTTGTTAATGTGATACTATAGTGATACGTGTCGTGAATCGTGATAAGACTATTTATTATCTACTAATTATTGTCGATATATAATTATAAATTAATATTAATATTAATTATTATTTATTTTATAAAATGGAAAATCAAGACGCTGAGGTAAATAAAATAATGTTATATAATGTTATAACAGTTTTTCTGTGTATGTGATTTAAATGTATTAAAGAAAAGAAATTAATACTACCCGTTATTGAAATTGTTGTTTGTATATATTTACTGTATTAAAGAAAAGAAATTAATACTACCCGTTATTGAAATTGTTATTTGTATATATTATGTACTGTATTAAAGAGAAGAAATTAATACTACCGATTATTGAAATTGTTGTTTGTATATATTATGTACTGTATTAAAGAGAAGAAATTAATACTACCGATTATTGAAATTGTTGTTTGTATATATTTACTGTATTAAAGAAAAGAAATTAATACTACCGGTTATTGAAATTGTTGTTTGTATATATGGACGATGTATCTATAATTAGGGATGTTGGTTGTGTCTATAAATCTTTGGCAAGTTAATGAAAATAATTAACTTAAGTTAAATTAAGAGGATATAAGATGAATAAGTTAATATGGAAAAAAAAATATTAACTTAACTTAGTTAAAAAAAAATTTAATCTATTTAAAGTAGAGTGTAAAGAGTGTAAATTATTATTTAAAAAAAGTATACATTGATGAGACACATGCGAGAAAAACACAATGTCCAAAAATTAAAAGTTAATTCATTGAAAAACGATGAAGACTTTGAACAACAAGAATGTTGTAAAAAAATTTAAAAAAAAATCTTAATCGTCATTTGAAAAATGTGCATGGTTTTACACCCAAACAAATTGCAAATTCTTCTATTAGACTAACACCAATCAAACCAGAAGTAATAAACATTTTAGTCATATTTAGTGTTCCTTATTTAAAAATGGGTAAATAAATATTTTAGTTATCTTCAAAAGAAACGTCTGACAACATTTTTCAAGTAAAGTCCATGGATTCAAAAGAAAATATAGAGTTTCTGGTAATTTGGGAAAAGTGAATGGGCAATTTGTTTAAGAGTTAATTTAATAACAAGGGGGCAAAATACTAACAACATTAGTGAAGCTGGCGTAAAAATCATGAAAGATGTTGTACTAGATCGAACAAAAACATACTCTCCGGTTCAATTGTTTTTTTTTATTGTTCAAGACTTGGACACATTTTATAAAATGAAAATTCTTGATGTAGCAGCAAACCGCCCACCTCAATATCTAAAAAAAAGATTTTTAATTACAAAAATACAACAAAAATCATTAAAATATGAAGCTATACAATCAAGTGTCTCACTTTACTTAGTCCATAATACACTGAAAAATACCACATACAATATTGATCTAGATACTGGCTTATGTTCATGCCCACAAGGAAATACTGGTAAACCCTGTAAACATCAAATATTTGTAGCGAAAGATTGAAAAAGAGAACTTGGCCTTTGTTTACCTGTAACAGAAGAAATTAGGAACAAACTCTATGTAATAGCAACAGGATGTTCAGAGATTCAAGATGGATGGTATAGCTCCACTTTTGAGAAAATTGCAACTGACGAGTGTATTAATGTACAACATGATCACGCTGAAATTGAAAAAGAAAATGATCAAATCTTACAAAGTAATTTAATTACAGAAAATGCTTCATATGATTATAATGTCACTAAATTTAATGAGATGATTGAAAAAATTAAAAGTACATGTTTATCTGATGTTGAATATTTTTTACCTGGAATGAATAACATGGTTAAATCGTTTGATAAAACAATGCGAACACATTCTTCTTTACTGTCAGCTATGATGACATTTGGGAAGTATTCTGGTGTTGAACCAAATTCTAAACGCATGAAACTTATTGGTAACAAACATATTGGAATACAACCCACAGCTTGTTCAAGACGTTCTACAAAAATCGGTGGAAGAAAAAATTTAGCAGCAGGGAGAGTCCCTAAATGGAAACGTGTTACTGAACATGGGTACACACAAAAACCATCTTCAAGTAAGCTACCTAGGACAAAACTTAATATAAAATCACTCAATCCATCAGAGTTGCCATTAAAAATATCAAAAGCCCCTCATAAACTATCTCATTGTGTCGAACAAAATAAATCATTAGGATCAAATCATTAAGCAAAATTATTATTATACTAATTATTATACTTATTATTATATATTTATTTATTATACAATTTTTAATTTTTATTTTTATTTCGAGTTCCTGTATTATATAGTATTCAATATTAAAAATTGAAAAATTAAACAATAAAACAATTGTAGTACTCTTACGAAAATAGAATATATATCAAAATAATAACAATATATATACTTGCTACTTCATTTATTTACCTATTTCCATTTTCCATTTTTCCAATTTTGCCGTTAAATATTGTATTATACTATATTGTTATTAGTTAATCTTAAGT